CCATTACTAAGGACAGGAATCAAGCTATGAATTCTGCCCAACGTTGCACTGCATGTCATTGCACTGTAAAAAGTCATTCTGCCTGTGTAAAGAACTCAGACACTTCTGCTTTTCACATACCTATAGGATGACCAAATCATCAAACTCTGCTGACAAGAAATGGACGAACAATACAGTGGTGACAGCTTTTGCTGAGAATGCCAGTTGTCTAAATCTCAAACAAACACAGAACTACACACCAAGATCAACTTGACTGATCATGACTGTTACAACACAATAAATTTAGTCACTAAGATAAGCAAAATCTGGTAGCAGTAGACCAAAACTAATTCCTTGAATTCCACTTGAAAACTAAGTGTTATATGGTACAATATCTAAATCAGGAAATGTTGCATAAAATAAAATTGCATTCTCTCTCTCTTCTCCAAACAGATTTCAGCTGTGGCCTCTAGCAGAATACAAGGAACATTTAACAGGGAATTAACAAAATCACAGCTAATTGTGATACTGAAACATATGATCTCTGTCTCTCTGTGAACAGTGTATTTGAAAGAAACATTCTTTTTTCATTATTATTTTTAATTCTGAACTGAAGTGGGTGCTCTTGGATATTGCTGCTATTCGGTTTCCTTGAACAGAGATATTTTGTGTTAGAGGCAACTTAGAACCTTATTTATGAAAACTTAACTAGTCAGGAGAAGGTCTGTATTATGGCACTTTCCCCTCCAGTTATTTCAATCCCTGTATTTGCTTTAATGCATTTTTCCATTGTTTGGGTCGTATTATACTTAATATTCATGCCATGGCTGTATCCTGTACTGTGAATATGTCGCAGTAACAACAGCATGTTAGTACCCCCATACTTGTCAAATAATTTCCACCTCACTCTTTTCCATCTGAACTTCAGTATCTGTTTCATGCAGGAAAACTATTCTACTCTGAGTAAAGAGACTGAAGTGTGGGTGGTACAATCATGTCCTCCTCTTTGTAACCTCCCTTGAGGGGCTCCAACACCTGTTGAAAAGCATGAGGAAATGGAAGTTTTCAGTATATCTGTAACACTCTCCAACTGTTTTCAACATAAGAGAAGAATGTTCTGACTGATAGACAAGCAGTCAGTTCAGGGTCAGAGTCAGGACTAATAATCATACTGGGGTTTATAACCAGAGGGACTAAGTTATGGAAATTCCGAATATTCTACATTCTGCATTAGCTCAGGACGTGCAAAAGAATGATGTGATATGAATGAATGAGGTTTCTATCCTAAGTCAAATACTCATTTTTAAATATCACTGCCTATATGCTTTACACATGCCTACACATGCCTACAGAAGCTGTCCGTGCTTGCAAGCATTGTGTACCATATTATTCAGTATTATTTGCACAGAAGACCCCACCACATTTCTTAAAGCGAAGCAATCAGTCTATCTACAATTAGAGTGCGAAGTTACCTGGGAGCTAAATGTAGGAGCTATTTAACAAAATACAGCTACCTTACACAAAAGTATATGACAGTGAATGAAGAATAACAAATGCACCTGAAAATGTAGGAGGAATTTGTAATGTAATTATCAAACTTAAATTTGATCTGCCTTCACAAAGTGAACAGGGAACTGTGAAGGGGGGAAATGTGAATGCCAATAGTAACACATTATTCCACAGCACTATTTTGTTGTATTTATTTCTTGGGGATTCTGAGGCAAGAGTGCCTGCTTACAGATAGTATAACCAAGGCATCACAGCTCATGAAGCATCCAACAATAATAGCACGAAGGAGCACCATCATTGTCAGGTCTGTGATACACGTCTTCCACTGGCATTGCTGATGTTCATGTGCCTGACAGGTCAGACAGTTAAGTATCTGTCTAGTTCTGATTTCAGCACATTTTAAAATTCTTGGGAGTATTTAATCATAGTGATTGACTTAATGGTCCTTGCCAAGTCACTTTCATCCTTGACTGATACCCAAATGATCAATAAGCTTGACCATGCCAAAAGAGGGGAAAGAGACAAAGGATAGAGGACAAAGTGGAAAAAAAAGAGGGTGAGAAATAAAAAGAATGAGGGAGAGAAAGTAAAACACAAAGAGAGGAAGAAAAACAGCATAAGGGAGCACAAGAAGGAAAGAGAGAAAGAAGAGAAGGGGAGGAATGAAAGAAGAAACAGAGGGGAGGAAGGAGAGGAGGAGGGAAGAGAGAGAAGGAAAGCAGAACGGAAAAGTAAGAGAGAGGAGAAAGAGGACACAATATGAAGCATACAGCATAATCAACAGCTTGAACCCAGAATCACTCAGAAGGTTACGGGATGCTATTATTTACCAACAAATCAATCACAAGAAAAATGCAACATTACAGTAGTGGAGGGTTGGGGTGGGGAGTATTTTATAAAGAAATTCAAACGAGTCCCTAGCATTAATACTACCAAAATGTGTCTAACATTTGCTTTAGTAGCTGAAGTGCTATTTTTAAAATGCATTTAAATTACTTGGAAACCTAACGGTCTTTGAAAATTAGTAGGAATTTCACCACAAAAAATCCTTGGGCATCCCATTTTTAAATGTAAGCATTTCTTCATTCACATTTAACATCTGATGAGCCAAAATTTCATTTTCAGAAGTAATACAGATAAAACACAGCATAAATCTTGCTGGATGTCAAACAGACATGACTTCTAATGTCATCAAAATAAGCCCTCTAAATATGTCAGGTATTGAAGTACTGAACAGTGCAGCGCATGAATTAGAAACAATAAGTCTGTCTTCAATATCTATTTCTTATCCTCCAAAACTGTATTTACCCAAAGAGGATTTTGAATTTCAGAACTGGAAAGTGTTCTCGAGGGAATAGGGGCAGAATTTTATTCCAGTCATGTAACAAAACAAGATGAATACTAGAGGCCATCTATGATATTCTGAAAGCACAGGTCTCCAGTTTTGAATTTCTCTTGAAAAAGAGATTCCAGTTACACGCACTCATACATGCATAAATGTAAATACATGTATACAGTAATGAGATAGATATCAGAATCAATGAATACAGTAGGCAGGTTTTGAACAGACTGATTTTTACCCATTCCACTTTACCTAAACCCGGGACCACCAAAATTTTGTCAGAAAGCTGATCCTAACATGGCACTGCCTTTAACACCAGCACAAGGTTCACATCACTTGTGTGAACACATTCTTGTGCGGCTGCAGAGGAAGGGAACAGGCCCGCCAAGTTTCAATTACAACAGTCACACTCCAAGACTTATGTGTCTGCAAGAGTAGGCTGTAGACAGTACACAAGGCTGTGAAATATATACCTCTGCTTTTCCCCAGTAAACAAACCTGTATGGATCCGATGGGGCTGGTTAGTGTCAGCACTTGCAGTTATTCTTTTCTCACACCAGCTACATGCAGTCTTACAGTTACAGAGGCGAGTTCAGCAAGCCATATGCAGAGCCACACTCTGTGAATTGCTGTTGGCCTCGCTAAAAGAGGGTATGGTTCTAAGTACAGGTGGAAGGAGGGCACATACCACTCACTCTGATACCCACGTGGGAGCAGACTTACGGCTATACAAACTTCCTCTTTTGCACTGTGCTTCGGGAGTAAAGGATGAATCATTACTTTTTAATGTTTCCTCAATATTATTACTTACGATGTTGTGATACTACTGCATGTATATATAAGCCATAAAACTATGGGTTCATACAAATTCATACACGCATCTACACCTATATAGAAAGCCTCACATCACATCCACACCACAACTGAAAACAGTTTGCAACCAGGACACATCTTTCCACAACTGCACTTCACGCACATACAATTCCTGCATATACAATTCCCACACATACGCTGTTCAACATAGGGAAATGCAAACCTCTGTGTGGACACGTCTGCAAAGATCCATGCTTTGTGACTGGCTGCCAAAATTTCCCAGTTCACGCACTTGCGTCCATGAGCTCTTCAGACTATACTTATGCATTCGCACATGGGCACATGTGCACACATGGACCATATGCACATCCATGCAAACACATGCAGACAGAAACCTCCATGAACGCCTGTGTGAAAGAACCCATGCACACACACATGCAAAACAAAAGCATGTCATAGAGGCACAGACACGTGTAAGAACACATACACACACACAAAATACATGTATTTTGTACATATATGCAGATGCACTGGAAAGGATCCATGCACACTGTCTGTCTGTCTGTCTCTCTCTCTCTCTCTCTCACACACGCACGCACACACACACACACACACGTGTGTGCACACACCTGCCCTCACACGCACAGCATCACACAACCACATGCACACACACAGAGGCACACGCACATCACACACCACACGTGTGCACACGTGCACGCACGCTCAGCACGGCAGCACACGCGAGCACACACACGTACGCTCACACAGACACACGTGCCAGCACAAAAACCTCACAGGCACACGCGCACCCAAACACACACTGCCGCCCCCAGGAAACCTCCCCCGCACGCACCGACAAACGATGCCCTGGCGGATGCACCCGCACCACGGGGCCCGGCACAGCGCACATCCCCTCAGGCACAGAAATGCACCAGCACCGCCCCCGCGCACGCGGGACAACACCCCCGCACCGCCGCCGACGTGCGCACCCCCGCACGCCCCCGCACCGCAGCCGGTGCCTGCCCGCCCCCTCCTCAGTGCAGGAAGCCGCCGCCCGCGGCCCTGGCGCAGTGTTTGGGCGGACAGAGCAGGGCAGAGCAGAGCAACTCAAGGCAGAGCAGGGAAGCCCCGGCGCGGGCGCCAGTCCGGGTCCCCTCAGCGCCCCCCGCCGGGCCCCCCCCGAGCGGCGCCCCCGCCCCCGCGGAGCGGCGCGCCCCGGCGGCGCGGCCGGTAGGTGGCGCCATCGCTCTTCTGGTGGAGCCGCGGCCGCGCCGCCCCCGCTCCCCGCCCGGCCCGGCCCGGCCCGGCCCGCCGGGAGCCGCCGCCCCGCCCGCGGAGCCCCAGTGTCGGACCCTCTTACCCCGCCCGCCGTGGCAAACAGCCCCCTCAGCTGCGCGCACGGGCAGCGGGGCTATGCCCGCTCCCCCCACCGCGCCCGCGGCGCTCGGCCTGTAATTAACGTCCCCGCACAGAGCCATCAGCCCGCGCCCCCCCGGGTGTGTGCCCGAGGGCGCGGGCGGGCCGGGCGGTGGGGGCTGTGCGGCGGTAGCAGCCCCGGGCACCGCACGTGCGTGATTAATAACGAGGCAGCAGCGATCGGGATGGGCGAGCCCGGCCGCCCCAGGCTCCTCCGGGCGGGGGGGGACCTGCCACTCCGTTATCTCCCGAGCCGCTCTCCCAGGCAGAACTGATCCTCTTGAGGGAACGAGGGGGTGGGGGGAGAGTCTCGACTGCAAATACTGTTTGGAGTTTATTGATGAGGGCGTCTGAGCGTTGAGGTGCTCTCCCGTGGCTCCCGGTGGATGCTGTAAGGAGCCAGGATTGTGGTGGGTTTCGGCTGTGCAGGGAGTTGGGGTAGCGGGGGGGGTGGGGGAAGGAAAAGACACGATCGAGAGTAGCTGAGACTTTGTGCCCCCGTTGGAGAGATGGTTGAGTCCTCGTCAAGGTTGCTGTGGTATCCCAGAAACACCATTCACTCCGAGCTGTGACCGCGCACCATCAACAGCAACAACTCCGCTGCGCCTGGCCGAGGAATAGGAATTAAGAGCTCTCAAGAATAATATGAAAGGGATCTGCAGAGGGGGAATCCGTGCAAAGGAATCGAAATTAGCAGACTTTTGGGAAAGGGGATGTACTAAATGTGGCCGGCTGGACTTCATCCTGGTGAAGAAAATGGAGATTAAAAGTGGATTTACATTTTGGAACCTCGTCTTTTTATTGATGGTTTCGTGTGTGAAAGGTAGGGTAGTATTTGAGGGGTATATTTTTAGGGGTCCATTTGCTTTCGGTCAGGGCGTTGCAAGATCTCGCCTTACACCAAGGGGTATTTCAAAATATATTTATCTCTTATTTTATATTTTTATCCTGGGTACTTTGCAATGGAAATTTATAAACGATCGCTAAAGCGGGGAGGAAAGAAGGAGTTGATTCAGAGCTCTCTTCGGAGATAGAACATGTATTTGCTTGCCAGGGCTGGCGTTCAATGCAGTGACTGAGCTGAAGCTCAATAAATATTCTTGCAGTATGCTCAAACGGAGACGTGAGTTGGTTCATATAGCCTCTAACTAGTGTATATTCAAACAAATCCCACGGGATGACTTTTTTAAGGTGACGATGATAATCGTGCGGGGTGGAGGGGGGATTACCTACAATTCTGGTTTTCGGTCGAGCAGCGGGCTCTTTGCGGGAATGCCTGTATCGATGCACTTATTAGTTTAACCCGTTGCGTGGGGAAAGTTACGGGGGAGCCCAGCGTATGCGTAGCCGTCTCACAGCCCGAAATGCGCTTCACGCTCGGCTGTCTGTACGCATGCAGGGCTCCCAGGCTGTCGGAAAGGTGCGTTGGCAATTCAGCCTTGAAGGCATGGTCTGTCGCTGGGTGCAAAGATCGACACCTTTTCTCTCTCCTCCTTTGGTCCCTTTTCCCTGATGTATGTGAGGGGTTCTGGCTTGGGCTTTTTGTCTCTCTCTCTTTTTTTTTTTTTCCGGGACAGGGGCTATTTTGCTTTCTTCTTGCTTCTGTGTTCATGAAAGGAGAGTAAAAAGGAAATGTCTAGTTAGCGGCATAAATATCTCCACTAAGTCTGTGCTTGCAGACAGTTAAGGGAAATGCTACACACAGAGAAAAGAAGAAATATGTGGCTTGAATAATGTGCACCTGCAGAATTACACAGGCATCGCTAAACAGTGGAGTGCCGATCCCATCACGCGTGCCTTCAGTAAAAGGATCTATTCTGCAACTCCCAACAGTCGGCTGCCTACCCGAAATAATCTCCCCTTGTTTGTGGCCAGTGATTAATATCCGATTAATCACCCTTTTATCCCCCTCCTCATCCCTCCTCCCTGCCACACTCATACACTCCCAGAATATTTAGTAGACGTTATCGATCCTCTCCGAGTTTTTAGACTTGGTTATCGCCTACAGAGGTTGCTTGCACGAGTGGGAAGAAGATGTTTTGAGGGGGGGGTGGCATTCAAAGGCGTGCCTTCCCGAGCTGGCTCTGGCTTGGATGAAACAGTTTATTGTAGAGCTTTGCAGCTGCTTGTCCCCCAATTTGCATCGCGTGGAAAAGACATTTCGCGTTTCACGGGGAGAGGGGTGTCGAGGGCTTTTTACCTCATCCCACGTTATCCTGACGCGGGGTATCCAAGGCGAAGGGGGCTTACCTGCGACGTTTATGCACATTTTAATTACAGGCACATTCTCTCTGTTTGCATCTATTGAAGGGAGCCGCTCCCAGCGCTCTGCCCCGGTCTGGAGATGCTTTGCTATGAGCGCAGACCCGTGGCTTTGGGGGCATTTCTTTTCCCTGGTTCGGCCCCCTGCCATTAGCGCGTTCTCCGTGCCGGGTGCCAGGGTTCGTCAGCCCCGGGGCTGGCGGCCGGCCCGGCGCGCCGTGCGTTCCGCGGCGCCCCGCGGGCGCGGTGCGGGGGCGAGCGGGGGCTCCGGAGCCGCTCCGAGGCGGCTGCTTTGTGAGCGAGAGTCGCGGGGCGGCAGCATCCGACCGAGGGACGGGCTGGCGCGGCCGCGGGAGCAGAGCGGCTTCCCCAGCACCTGTTGAGAGCCGCCTCGCTTGCCCTTGGGGGTGGGGGAAGGAAAAAAGCTGGGCACTGAGGGCAAAAGCTGGGATGAAGCACCAGAAAGAGCCCAAGAAAAAGAGGAAAAAAACGGGCTTCGCAAAACTGTCCCTTTCTCTTTCTCCTCATTGTCAGGGCCTAAGGTTTCCAGGTGCTGACGAGGGCAGTTTCCATAGACTTCCCTCCGAGTGGGGCACTTCTCCCAGAAACTGCAGAGCCAGTAGGTCAGATTTTACATCCTGGCTGTAGGTTCCTTTAGGCAGCCAAGTTCCATAGAGCTGGCTTAGACTCACTGCAGCACAGCATCTATTCTGGGCGTTTATATTTAGTTCTCTTCCCCACTCCCATGAATGAAAGCATTTTACTTCGATTCACATTCCCTTTGTCTCAGCACACAGTTGTGTCCCCAGAAAGCAGAGGCAAACAATGAATGAATACCTGCCCATTTTCCTGATGTTGGGAGCAAGATGACTCCCCAGATTCTACATCTGCTTTACCATTGCCTGGCAAGGCCTTTTTCCCACACCCCACCTCCACAAGCTCTAGCCCATAGCCTTTCCTGCTTAAACACTTCTGCTGGTCTACAGCACCACATCATAACACCCAAACTCTTGCTGACATTCCTGTCATCGAGATCACTTCCACAGCTTTGCTTGATATCTGCCCCTCAGGCCCTTCCTACTTTTGTCATTGTCCTGTCACCATTTCTCCAATCTCGATCCACAGCTCTCTCAGTGTTACAAGTGTCAAACTATCTCAGGATGCTTAAGAAACCATGCTCATATCTGATTAATTAAGCACTCCTGGGATGTATTAATAGAAACAAAAAAACCCCCTTCACATTTATCTATAAATTCATGCCTCTTTGGTACCTTGCAACAGTACTTGGAAGGGATTAGAAAAGGGAGAAGAAAGTAAGAGAAGATAGAGGGAAGGAAACTGTCGGAACCTCTGAGGAAGGGGTGATATGAGAAGCTAAAGTAAAAAGGAATTGTACTTTCTTCAGTGAAAACCTTGCTTACACAATATCCCATCATGCCCTGGAACAATCTCCCATAAAATCTTCCTTGAATATACATGGAGTAAAAAAGCAAGGAAATGACACCACTGGAAATTGAGAGAAGGCACAGAAGGCATTAAAACAAACAAATCCACAACCCAACCTTAGAAAAGGCCAAGCAGAGTGATTTCTGGCCAGCTACAGGGGGTCATGAATCTTGTGCTCTTCCCTTTAGATGTGTGAGACACCCAGCAAAGCTCCTTCCCCTTCTCCCTCACTCCCCCACCATGGGAGAAATGACAAGCACCACTGAGGCACGAGAGATAAAAACCCAAGTTTGGAGGACTAAGGATAGGAAACCTCCACTGTCAACTCCCTTACAGAAAGGGAAAGAGAGGGCATAAATGAGGGGGGAAAAAATTAGGCAGCATCAGTGAGCTTTGCCTTCTGGGATTTAGGAGAGGAATGACTGATAGTTGCATCCCTTCGGTTTGGCACCTCCCTCCACCAAAAAAAAGAAAATGCTTGCGGTCTGTTAGTGGAAGGAAATCAGAAAGGAAATCGGGCAAAATGACCACAAGACTTCTCCCTCTCTTCTGTTTAGCTTTCACTCCAAGACAGAGAGCACCAAGGTCAGCTCTTTTGTCTGCCTGGCTAAAATGAAGCTTTTGCCGTTGCTGTTGTTCCTCCGTTCCCCTCTTGCAGTTGTGACAAGCGGAACAAGGGCAGCTTTCAAAATGAAAGGGACATGAAACACTGAGATTTTAAATGGCTCAGAATGACAGAAGAAGTGATGAGAAAAAGGATTTCCATTTCCAGTGATGGGTACCTGGCATGTGGGAATATTTAGCAGGGACAAAGCGTGCCCTGTTTCTTTCAGCCACCTCTGCAGTATCCCTTCTCCCCCATACCCACCTCAGTCCCGCTCCCCACCGCTTCCTTCCCAGTGACTTGACTTAGTGTTACTGGTGATGGGTGTGGGGTTACTGGCGGATGACTTTCCTCAGTGGGGCGCAGATGGGCGCAGCGAGGTGCTGGCTCTGTCCCCGAAGTGGGAACGGTCGGGGAGTAACAGCAGGTTTAGGTTTCCTTATTTCCAGATGGTCGATGCTGCTGCTGCATCTTTGTGTGTGTGTGGTGTGTGTGTTTGTTCATGTGTTTGTGTGTATGTACCTATGCAGGGGGGCAGGGACACACTGACTGGAGAAGGGACAACGGCGTCCTTCCTTTTCAACTCTTCCACACACGCCCACCTCCTCCACGGTGCTTCTTTGCCATAAGCCCCCGCAGATGACACAGGGTTTGCTGTGCTCAGCGGGCACCGCAACTCACCGTTTTTTCAAGCTACACAATTCTTCAGGGTTGCGGGCAAAGTTACCCCTCTCCCCCCCGCCTTTCTCAGGGCTCAAACAAGGCTCCGCTGTGCCCCCGATTGGCGCTCGGCTCCTCCTCCTCTTCTGCAGGGCGGCAGTGAAGAGGCACAAGACCCCTCCCAGCAGTATCGGCAGGGGCTGCTTTTGCCTCCCGTGCCCGATGCCATTAGGGACCCGCACAGAGGAACCTCACCTTCGGTCTCCGCATTTTCATTGCGAGAGGCAGCAGTGGCAAGGTGGAGCCGGCACGGAGCGGCGGCTGCCCCGCCAGGAGCCTCCGCCGGGCGCCTCCACCTGCACCCGGCACCGGCCTCCGCAGCTGCCCGAGGCGGCCGCACCTCCGGGCAGTCCTTCTTAATGCAATCTTCGGTCTTCTGGCTTTCCTTTATCTCGGTGACTCCTGTTGGCAAGTCTGGGGCAGCATTAGGGGTGTCGGTTCGTTGGTTTGCTTTGCTGACACACAGAAATAGCCCCTCGCTCGCTGAGCACTACCAGCCCGCTCCTCGACGAGCAGCGGGGGGCTCCAGGCAGCCACGCAGGCTGAAGAGGGACAGGTTGTAGCTTAACCTCTGTTATCAACATCTCGATTTGCAAGCACGAGCTCAGGAGACTTACAGAATTCCGTGGATGTGCTTTTAAATCCCTCCTTTTTCAAGACTCTTGTGCAATAAACATAGCAGGAACTTGTAGTCTACCTACGGTTTTTTACTTGTTTGTGTGTGTGGGGTGGGTGTTTTTGAGCAACAAGTCAAGCAGGATCAATTGCCTATCTAGCTTAGTGCCCTTTAT